TGTTTTCAATTTTAGGGACATTTACATACACACCACACAATTCTTATCTATAGGCCTATAATTTTTACATTGATGCCACCCAAAATTTCCATATAACAGAAAAAAAATACCACCATCTTAACTTTTATTTTCATACTTGCATGTGAAAATTGAAGATTAGGTGTTAGATATGTAAATGCATAAGAATTGAGTGTGAGTGGTATGTATAATAAGTATTCCTAAATTTTAGTTGCCACCCATAATGTCTATTTTATCATATGACAGGTTGTGCTCAGGCCCATCGCCAGGAGCTCATCCAGGATTTGTTTAAAAATCGAACAGGATACACGGCGTGGACCTATTCCTGGTGGCATGATAGGTGTTCAAAAACGTCACCATCAGAAAGTGCAGTTCTCCGATATATGTGATGATTAATTATAGAATTGTTGTATTAAGATCGGACCTGAGAGCAATAATTAAAGTTTTATCCATTTTGATTTTTTGAAATTATGGAAATAAACTCTATATAATGTAGGAATAAGAGTGCATGTATAAATCCCTTTATTGTCTCGAATTAATAAGTGTTTGGTTTGCTTAATAATTCTAATTCATCTATTTTATTTCTTTTAAAAAGTTCATTCTCATACCACATAAGAATGAAGTGGTATGAGAATTTCGAACATTTCGAACATTTCGAACATTTCGAACATTTCGAACATTAACAATTCGAACAATTCGAACAAAAACGAACCGAACACGAACAGACTCTTCACGAACAATTTCGAACACGAGCCTATTTCAAACAGACTATATTTCAAACGAACCAAACACGAACATGAGCATTGTTCGTTCGTGTTCGGTTCGTTTACACCCCTAGTTACTGCGACGAGGAGCTCGGATCAACTTCGTGGGCAGCACGGCAAGGAGTTTGGAACGAACTACAGGTGGAGGTGGGCGTAATAGCAGAACGAGTCTGCACCAACTGACCTTGCCTAGTTTAAACAACCCATAAGGCTTCGAGGTAGCTCTCCTAGCGCGACGTAAATCCTCACTCTCTCTTTTTAGGCCCCTGTACAGTCATGATGTGCAGCGTGAGTCCTAACTCGACTTAGGTTCCAAGGTTGTTGTACGGTACGACGTAAACCCTCATATCTCTGTGGGTTATTTGCATAATCGGACATTATGCAAGTTTAAGTCCCAAATAATAAAACTGGCAGAATCAAACATTTAATTAACGTCATCTCCAAAAATGTAGCCACACCGTAGGATAGTCTGGGATGTCACTGATGTTTCTCCTCAGGATATATGACATCCCCTACCTTTTCTTTTCTTTGGACTCCTGAAATAACTGTTCCTACTTGAGTCATAAAGGAATTTTTCCACTAGAGCAAAACACCAAGAAGACGCAAGAGTATTGGTTTCAACCTTAGATAGAAAAAGAGCAGGTTTCCCATTTTTTTACCAAGCTTTTTAATGAAAATGCGATAACCACCACCTTCAAGAGCCTCGTAGAAAGATTGTGGAACAATGCAGGACTTACCGATACCAAAACCAAGCTTTGAACCTGAAATAGGGACACAAGTAGGATTGTCGTCGGCAAGTGCAGTGGCATAAGAACGGAGCATCCAGGCCATCTCCACCAGGCAAGATGACCACGGCCTGAGTCTGAAGCGGCGTGGCGAGTCACTTCAATCTGCGACTCGAGGAAGGAGACGACATGCGAGATTGCAAAAGATGTAACCAAACCTCGTATCAGGATCGAAAGACGACGATGTCGTGCAAGTTTTCTGCAAATGCCGATGAAATTGCGAGACGATGACAATGCTTCAAGAAGGAAGATGTCGTGTGAGCTGTTTGCAAACACCGACGAGGCAATCGAAAAAGGAGAAGGCTGGGTGTGAGTTGTTCGTGGTCAAGCACGATGAGACTGTTTGTCGTGGAAAACGACAAAGCCGACTAAGTGAAAAGGTAAAAGATTCAAAGCCAGGAATCGCCATCAGGCGAAAATCCTAGCAGAGCTGCACGCTATGTGATTAGGGTTTAGTTTTTTGCTTCAAATTTATGTATTCTACGTCTTTTCCCTTGTTAGGGCTATATCCGAGAACAGGTGGTACTCAGACAGTATGTTGCTCAAAGGTGGTGATTAACTCCACGTCGTTCCTCCCATTTCCTCTCTCGCCTGCTTTTTGTCGTTTTCATTGTGCAACCCTCCCTTTGTTGCCATCATCTCTTCATCTCATTGTGGGGACTCCCAAACAGCTCTCCTCGTTGTCTCCTGCAACTGCACCCACCTTTCTCGCCACCAGCTGCTTTCTCCTACCTCCAGCCAACCCTCCTACGATTCACCTCTAAATTCCAGCCGCCAACCCTCCACATCCCTCCCACTGCAGCCTATTCCCCACCGTCCAAGTATCTCACTGCCATCTCCCTACTGACTGTTACCGTCCCATTGGAGGCAACTCGCCACCAATCATTCGTCCACAACCAGTCAACCTACCAACCTGCTACCACTCCACCCAGCCTACTCTCCATAGTTCTCAACCCTGCTCACCCTCCATCCCACAAAAACTCTCTGTCCAAGTCACATATCTGATTTTCAACGGGGAATACAACCCTAGTGAGTTGAATGTTGTGTTGTTTTTTTTTTTCCTTTTCCATGTGTGGCTTGTAACCGCCTATTGATTCTTTCAGTAATAATATTTATTTGCTTATCGTTATTTGGGTTAACTCTGGTATCATATTATCTAAATATCAATGGAAATTTACAATAATATTCGATAACCAAGATATTCTCGATGAGAAACTTATCATACAATAAGACAGAAACTTCTTATTATCAATATATAAATGATATTCTCGATGATCCTATAATACAAGAATCAATGGAAATTTTAGATAAAGAATTTCAATATGTCAATGTTGACTGTATGAAACTCTTGATAGTATCAGAGCAGAGTTCTTTTACTGCAAATTTTATATGAAACTCTTTTAACAATTTGAATCTTGAAGTTGGTAATTGTAGTAAAAGATTACTTTCTTCAGATAAAAATAGGTTAATTTGCTCATTTGCATTTGAAAGATATCCTCATACTGTTCATAGTGATCAAGTGCATCTTAATACATATATTCATCTGTTGACAAACTTCTCTAAAAGTCATTATCACATCAACTAAAAAAAAATTATTTATAATATCTGAAAATTTGAGTGAAAAGAATAATTTTTAAAATCTCCTGTTGGTTAGATAGAATAACTAGGCCATATCAAGTCTTTATCAATAGTAAGAAATTCTTAAAAATCAGAAAAAGATAATAGCTCTTCACATATGATGGAGAGGGAGACAATCCGTTCAGTGGAACATCTGATACAATTGCTAATACACCTTTTGTAACTACTCAATCAAGTTCTTCAACTTCCTCCTGACTCGATAGTTTAATAGATAGATCCAGTAGTTCAAGGAGTGAATTCAAAATAAATAACTAATTGATGTAGAACAAGATATAATGATTTTCTTTAATGATCAATTAAATGGTCTAAATCCTGCAAGGCTATATTCTCATAGATTATTAAGTAGCTTCACAGGATTATTTAGACATCATGGAGAACTACCTTTGCATCCTTTGAAGGTATTTCATACTCATCAAATTCAGTATTATCATTTAATCTTTTGTAGTTAAATCTCATTCTAGGTTGTCCTCTTTTTTTTCACTTCTTTCATTACCATCACAGCAGAACTTCCATGTCTAGATTTAAATTTCTGGATAACTCCTAGTTTTAATAATTGGGCTATATGCATTTTGTATTCCTCTATTTCCTTATTATTATATTTCATATCATCTCACTTAATATTAATGTCAAGATTTAATATTTTAAGTTCACAAAATATCTTATGTTTCCTAATATTTCATAAGATTTTATACTATTATCTTTAATTTTTCTAGTTTAGAAACAAAATTATTGATATCATTTGTGTTATTAATTGTTTTAATTGGTCTGGAGTAACATAATGTTGGAAGTCAAAGGATTCGATATCATCAAAGTCTTCATAATAGTTTAGTGATTCATCGGGGATATCTTCAGACTTTTAGTTTAGTTTACAAGCTCCAGAAGTATGGGATAAACAATCTCTTTGTCATCATTAACTGTTGGCCCATGCTTCCCTTAGATCCATGAATCTTTCATATGCTATCACAAAAATGTAGTCAACAAAAAACACCATGGGGTAATGTATTGATATAATTCAGCAAAAGATGAATTGTCAGTTACCAGTGCATTATAACCACAACAAGATGAAGGCCTATGGCTTTTATAGTACATCAAATGAAAAGAATTAGAAGAGTTTCGGAATCTTCCCAATAAAACAAGATTGAGGATCATTGTTTTGGTAAGTAAAACAGCATTGATTTTTAAGTATGAGCATTAGCAGTAAAAACATGAAATCCACAACAAGAGCAGCTTTCTTTTTCAACTTGTTTCCTTTAATCAAAATTGGGCATTAGTACATCTATGGATGTTTGTAGCACCTAATGCAAAAATAACTTGCTTTAGAAATCCAGAGTCCAACTGAACTCTAGGTCCGAAGAGAGAGACAAAGACATGTGTCATCTATAGTACATCAAATTAATAAAGATTGGAAGAGCTTCAGAAACTTCTCGATAAAACTAGATTGAGGAACAAGGTATTGGCAAGCACAAAAAATGCTGACCTTTAAGCATAATTATTAACAGTAAAAAATTTCAATCCACAACAATAGCAGCTTTCTTTTCTGCCCGGTTTTATTTTATTGAAATCGGGCACTAGTAGATATATGGAATTTCGTAGCATCTGATGCAAAAACAACTCTTTAGAGAACAATAGTCCAACTAATCTCTAGGTCCAACAAGAGTATAAAGTTTCAGGCTAAAACAACTTATAAAGTAATAAAAAATTAATAATAAAAAAACAAAATAGCAAGTAATAAACAACAAAGTTCGGTAATCAAAGTGAAACTTCACTGCATTGTTCATATAGTGCTTTGAAGTACCTCACTTCCAAGGGCTGTGTAAACATCACTAAATTCAAGACCAATATATCCGCTGCCAACAATAGCAATCCATTCTGGAACCCACTCCAGCTTAAGGGCTTGATCACTGGTAAAGACAGTTTTCCCTGCACAATAATATTCCATGTCAGAATAGCATAATGGAAGAATGTAAATAGGCATTTACATAGAACATAAAAGACAAACACAAAATTAAAATCTCAGATAAGGAAAAGAGAATAAAGCATCATCTTCATCAGCACCAAACTTTAACCCAATTGTTTGAGATCGCTGTCGGAAATTACCCTAGATTCATTCTGGTTGAGTGCTACTTAAAGTGCAATGTCTTGCACACTTATTTACGTAATTTTTAGCCATGCTACTTGCAATCTATTGGTCTTTCCTTCCTCATCCATCACGTTAATTGTGACTACCTGACTTACGTGCATCTTCTACAATTTTTTAAGGGTACTAATCTACAGATACAAGACAAGGGGTGGCCAATATCCAACAAAGTTCTTTGACCGGATTTGAACTAAAATGAACAATTCTAAGCAATTAGTAGGTTATACATATAAACTACTGCATTGACCTAAAAGACCATACATGAGTTAACTCTCAGTAAGCATTCACCTAACAGATGGACATTTAAATTTATGAATTTGTGTCGCTGACTGCTTGTATATCAGACAATATGATGTCTTTTTTAACTCACTATATCTCACATGCGAATTTGTTTTCTAAATCTAAATATATGCCGCAGAGAATTGAGAACTTTGTAGGATGAGAAAACAAGAGAGTTGGTTGCATTATAATTAGAAGAAAATAAAAATATTGCTTTCTAACAGAAAAAAACTAAATGGTTATGATATATGTTGGAAACATAAACCAAAAAAAGAGTTAGGCTAGAAGTACATAAATAGTCGAAAGAAAAAAGAGCTTAGTAAGTTTGTGATGTGGGCTTCGAAGAATCTCACCAACTTTTCTAAAAGTATATATTGTTCTAAATCAAATTTTCAATTAAAAAAAAAAAAAAAAACAGGTGAGATTTGAGATTAAGGCAGTAACCAGAGATTTCACAATCATTTTGAGATAACTTTAAATATGAGTTTCCCGAGATATAAGCTTTATATTTAATTATTTCTCCCAATAATGAGAAAAAATTTTCAATTAAGGGTAATTATTAGATTACAAGTGATCAAATTACAATTGCAACAATTTGATTTTAAAAGAGTAAATACATTATCTGCAGCTTAGAGTGTATGGTGGGAGAAATCATGACAAAACTCAATTATGATTTTATGATTTATGTCACACCTCACGATAAGCCCTCCCCAAAATTGATGTGAGAAATGAATAGAGGCAAGTTTGATTTAATTAGCTGAATGTACTTCTAACACCCATTTCAGTATTCTACTGATCAAGATAGAGTGGGAGATAAACTCAATAACCTAAACTCACCCCGAAAAACAAATGAAATATTACGCAAATATCTAATTCACCCAGAACAACCAAAAACAAGCTACCTAATACAGTAATTATATGAGAGTCAAACTAGTCAAATAAAACGGAAACAATTCAGACAAACAATTAAAAACTATATCTATAGCATTTAGAGCGCACTAAATTCTTAATAGAAAGTATAGGCTTTAGTTAATATCTCATCTCAAAATTTCTATATCTTACAATGTAATTTCTTTCCTAACTTTTCTGTTGTGGCTGCTTAAAAGGTTTGTCTAGGATTAAACAATAGTTAGTAAAGTAAAACATGCACGACACAAATGTAAAATAAAACACATGCATGAACACAGTACTAACATAAAACACACAAATCAAGCTTTTAGTTCCAAATGTATTAAAAATAAATTGCTACTTAATAGACAAAGAAATCAACCAAAAATCAATAGCAATCTTGTAACCCAAAAAGGTGATATCCTTGTAAGAGTTGTAGAATAAGAGAAGCATGAATACATAAATAATAATTTTGCAACACCATTGTCTCCTGCTAATATTTATTTAATTGTCAAGTTGTGTAGCTAAAAAGGGTATGCGAACTACAACTACAAATAAATTTTTCGGCTTTGAGCCGAAAAAAATTGTCCATATAACATTATTCTAACTAAAATATGCAAGTAAGAAATAAGAAATGATTACCATCAACTTCTATCCCTTTGGGAATAAATGGAACAGATCCTGTTGCGATTAGAACATCCCTAGCCGAGACTTCTTTGTCAGCAATGCCTATTTTTCCATACTTCACCTTCTGAGTTCCCTATTACAAAGCAAGAGGTATTCTTTTCATAAGCAAGTGATCAAAGCCTCGTCTGAAGACTTCTAAAAATAATTATTATAGCATGACATCCATAAGAATAATATAAAGCGCCAACTTAGAGCAAAATGAAAAAAAATGAATGGCCTACAACAATCGTGCCAACTCCAGTTAGTATGTCCACGCCAAGAGCTTTAAGTGAATTGGTCAAATTGCTCCGAATCTTTGATGCAAGGTTATTTGCATGATCAGCTACACCTTGTCTATCATAACTATGATCCAGAACCTATCATTTAAGGAAATAAACAACAAAAAGGTAAAAATTAGATTAAGTTTCCAATAATAACAAACTAAAGTACAGATCATTGCCGTCGAAAAAGCCACAGAGAGAATGACAAACTTAACACACATTGTATAAAGAGTAAAATGTTTTTTCTTATCTGATAGTGACCCAGTAATGAGAAAATCATTTCAAAACTCATACTTCAGCGATACATACCGTCGCTGGCATTCACTGAAACTACAAGCACCAAAGTCATAAAATGTTCAGCATAGATGCCAATGCATCATATTCTGTTAAAAAGAAGCAGAACCAAGCATATTCTTCAAACAACGACTGCCCATTTTGATGCTTTGAACACAAAAATAGACCACTAACCAGGTTACATTAACCAATTAAATGAGAAAAAAAGAAGAGGTAATAACATAAATAGGATTCAAACATTGTTATTTACAAAACTAGCACTTTCTAGCATCCGTTTATCGAATTCTCATACAAATGTCAAGGATTACAATAAAACCCAATCCCTATTATTCGCTGTTATCAAATTCCCAATAGTTAGATGATGGCACACATAAAATGCATGAGTTAGGTGATTCAAAAAAGAAATGACATCAGAGCTAGTTTTGTAAATACATAAATTTTGAGTGCTACGTATATTTTTTCTGTAAAAAAAAATTCATAGAATTTCAGAAGATCTAAGCACTGTTGAACATTGTAGATCTCATTGGTAAAATGAACTAGCAATACAATAACACAAAACTAGCAATATCCTATTTCAATAGAAAATTTATTTAGCAATTAATTCCAAGGTACTTAACAAGTTATTAAAGTTTACTATACGTCAGCAATATATTAGAAACTAGCAAGAGCATATATACCTGCAAACCCATTGATTTCAAGTGACCTTCGCTTTGAAGTTCGTGCATCCTACCACTCACGGCAAGAAGAGCTTTAGATGGAACACAACCCCTATTTACACAGGTGCCTCCAATAACATCCCCTTCAATAATTGCAGTTTTTAGACCCTGTTAAGAAAATGAGAACAAATAAGTATTGGAAAATTTACATACTGAGGGTATTTACGTATCTAACATCTAAAGCTTGATATTTACATTTATAACACTTTAGTGTTATAAACCTATGCATGAAAATGTATATTTCACTTTTATAAAGTTAGTAAATGTATATTTCACTTTTGTATATTTCACTTTTATAAAGTTAGTAAAAATATTATTTTTGATGTGATGTTAAAGATTTGAATGTTTTGCATGTAGATACTAAAGTTTAGGTGTTAAATATGTAAAAATATAAGAATTGGTGGAATGTATGTAAATGCCCCATGAGTATTTAAAATTACACTACAGTGATGCCCCATGCAGGTGCTGACTTTAGAAGGAAGAAGCTCTGCTTTGCTCTAATTACCGCAATAAACTTGGACACAATAGGTCAAAGTCAAAGGGACCAGTTCATGCATCTCATGTGTTCAATTTTAATTTTAAACATTTTGACGGGTAACCAATGCATTGAAAATATAGCTACGACAATAGCCTGATTAATAAAATTAGATAACATTAAGAACTGTTCATACGGGCAGAGTATTCACGAGCGGTCCTGTCGAACATGTATGAGCTCTTTCTAATGGAAGAATAAAATTTGATGAGGGTTGGTTCATCCCACACGTACCCGTCATATCCTTTTAATGATAATTTTATAAGAGAACTAAGACTTGAAAGGGTGGAAATTTTTGACCTATCACTTGCTTCATATTAATCTAAACTCTAATGTCATTCGTTTTAAGAATTTATCAATGCACAAATGACATCAATGACTCAAAATTGATAGTTTATTATCCTATAATGAGGACAACCATAAATAAAATTGATGTTTTTATTCTGAAATAGAAGGGCATGTAGACCCCGCAGATGTGTCTGTTGAAATTTACATATGTGTATAAAATTGCAAAATACAATTAGAATATCACAGATTATTTTTGTAATTGTTTTTAACTAGCAAGAAAAAAAAAATCATTTGCTCTTTTTTTACTTTTCCTTTCATCAATATAAAAGAGACAACCTTATGGTGCTAATAGATAACAAAACAGAAGACTGTCAAAACTCACTATTTTTCTTGCCAATCAAGCTTTATCTATCTCACAACCAATTTTTCCCAGTAGCCAAAGGAAATTTCTTTCCATATCTAAAAGCTCACGGCCAAAGAAAGGTGATCTGTTACTCTGCAGATGAAAACAAACTATTGGATTCATTTCCATGAAGATATTCAAACCTCTCTTAAAAGCTCTAAAACTACTTTCCTAACGCTCCTTCAACTAAATTCTCACTCTCTCAAAACCATGAAATATATAGGGGTGTGCACAAAATATTCAAAAAAATCCCATATGTGCTAATTAAAATATTTTAGTTTTGGGTGTTTTGAAATGAACTCCAAGCTTTCTCTCTTAAAAAAAAATCAATACAAGTTTCACCATATTTCACCAAAAACCCTAAATCGAGTTAAAAGGCCTAATTATCACTCTATCACCATGATAAAAATCAATATAGAATCAACATTAAGATGATCAAGATTGATGACGGCAAAGGTTATTTTAACCAAACTTTCTCTTCTTTTATTAGCAGAGAAAGTTTTGTTTATCAATCCTCCTACCTACCACCCCACAACAAAATAGACAAGAAGAAAGGAAAAATAAACATCCTTTTAAAGTAATCAAAGTTCTTCTCTTAAAAAATTAAGTTCCTAAAGGATATTGGTGAGAAGCTGCCCCTCCACATAGTTAATGAAATACCCTCTGGAATAATTAATTTCAAAAGCCTTTTGAATTAAGTTAGTTTTTTCCCTAAAAAAAAAATCTTCTAAAAGATTTCTCCTAGAATATTTGTTCATATGTACGGATTTATAAATAACAGGGTTAACTATATCCTGAAGCACTAAAGAGTGATTTCTTAAAACATCCCACCACTCAAAAGGGTTAAAAATGCTATCATCCAACTAAAAAAATGATCATTGCCAAAAGCGTCACATTGAAGAAAAAATAAACTATTTTTAACCAAATTTATTTTCAAAAGGAGAACGGTCAAATAGAATATACGTCTAATGAACTTGTTATCTTCTTTCTTGAAATTCAACTACCAAAATATAAAATGAGAACTTGACCCCACTCGATTCAACATCCCCGAAAAAAAATGCATGATAAAAAAGGTACCATACATATTGAAATAATCTCCACGTGCATGTTTTAAAGGATCACAAAATTCAAGTGTGAAATGGGATATAAATAGCCAAGGACATCAATCGCCTTATAAAATACTTGACGAAAAGAAAAATGGCAATTCTTATTATATAAGCTGATGATAAAATTGCTAAAAGGAAATGACAACAAGGAAAATGAATCATTCAGGAAATAACTCACAGCAAAAAGAAAATGATAACAATAAAATGAATCACTTAGGAAATAAATAACAGTCTTGAGATTTAAAATTCAACAAACCTAAATACTTGATATCAAAGTAGATAAAAAAAAGAGATATTTAACTCTCAATAGAATGTCTTAGATCGGTTAATAGAAACAAAAAAAATTAATTAAAAGCCAAATGAAGCTCCAATATAGCCAAGCTAGAAACTAGACTCTAATGAAAAAGAAACAAAAGTTAACAATAGATGATATCAAAGATCGATTAGGAAACTGACTTATTGTCCCATACCAAGATATAGAATTTGGAGTAAACCTCATAAATCAATTTATGCATTAACCAAAGAAGTCTTACCTTCAAACTGCAAATAAAATTCTAGTGAAATTAAATTCAAACCTAGAAAAAGGAATTCTCTGCAAAAAACATGAACTATAAAATTGGAATGCAATATTGATACTGATTATGCAAGATCACCTATTCACCTATTGATAAGAGTATCAACTCCAAGTTTTTGCACATGATTAAGAGAAGAACTTGTAACATGATACGTAAAAAACAACTCATGTTCTCAAGGTCAAGTACAAAATCTGAGTTTAGAGAATTTGCACAATAAATTTGTGAACTTGTATGATTTAAAATTATACTTAATGATTTGAGAATAAAAAAAAATATATCCTATAACAACGTGTTGTGATAACAAGTTTATCATTAGCATTGCCAATAACTCAATCCGAAAATTGCAGGTGGATGGGCCCATCATAAGAAAAATGGAGAGCAAATTGATCTACAAGCCACATGTCTCAAAAGGTACACAACTCACCAGCATAGTCCCCAAAGGATATTTCACACAAACTACTAGTTAAGGGAGAATGGTGAAGAATGTTAGCCCAAAAGGGAAGTATTGTTGATTAAGAGAAGAGAGAAATGACAGCAAGTGAGTTGTACTAAAAATGCAAACAGAATCTCGCAGAAACTCAACAGCATAGAAGCTATACAATCACTGTCATGCTTAATTATGTAATATAATGGAAAGAAAATTTGATACCCGGAAGAAAAAGTTTCAAATTTTAACTTATGTATGACAGTTTTTGTTTTTTTTAGTGTTTAAGCTGATATTATTACTGCTTACGTCGTCTTATATAATTTTATTGGGTAACATTAAGATGATAATACATATTTTAATAGGTCATAAATTGATATGGAACACAATAAATAATTCGGTGAGGTAGTGATAAAAAATGAAGATCCTAACGTGCATGTATATTTCGGGAAGAGAGCTCAAAGTAGTGCAATATGACATACAATTGCTACCACTCTAGCTACAACTCTAAATAACTCAGATTTCTGCACGCAATACAGCACGAAATGCTCCACCAACTCCAATAAAGGAAACCCCAAGAAATACATTGCACTCGGCATCAAGCTAAAGAAGGTCGTGCTCGTACCTTCTCCACGGCATGCAACGCCGCCCCGTGACCACCAACACCAGCTCCAATAATAACGAGATCGTAGTCGAACCCCTTCCCCATGCTGCCATTATCGCTGACTGCAGCCAAGGTCGTCCTGCATAGCTTCCGAGAATAACCAAACTTCGAAATCCTGCCCGCCCCCGCAAGCTTTGGCACGCAGAACCGCAATGCTTGCCCTTGGAGTCGGCAGAAGCTTGGCTCCGGCGGTTGGACGCCAACACCGGCTGTGAAGAATCTCCTCACCGGATCGGATCTGGAGATTACCGGCGTGTAGAACGAGAGAGCAATCGACGCCTGCATCTCTGATCCGGGAGACGGCGGACTAGCGTGTTCCAGCAGAAATGATAAGTGGAGAATTTAAGGGGGGGACGAGCGGCGGACGGATCGAAGTCATGAGGGGATTAATCAACCGTCGACCATTTATTAGTTGGAACAGCTAATGTAATCCTCTGAAATTAGTTCGACCGTGCAAGGAAGATTTGTCAAGAATTTTTTTTTTTTTTTACCTACCAATTATTTAATATATTTAATGTAATATTTTAATCATTCAAATTTAAATATTATATTTTAATCGTTCAATATTTTCACTAAAAAATAATTAAAATATTAAATTTAAAATTTATGTGATTAAAATGATATTATTTTGAATGATTGGTTCGTAAAAATTACAATTTTTTTTCCTTTACAAAGCATTACTATAAATAAATTTAAAAGAACTTAAATTTAAAAATTTTAGGTTGTTATTAAACGTATTTAAAATTTATATTTTATTTACTTATATCATGTGATTTTTTATTAGAAAAGAGTTCATGTATTTATGTATCTAAAAAAATTTTACATTCATATATATGTAGGGGTAAAGAAAGTGTGTTCGTGTTCGGTTCGTTTGTTTAGCGAGCCGAACACAAGCTGTTCGCGAATAAAAAGTAGTTTTGACAACCCTATTCATGCAACCGTAGGATGTAAAGAGTTGGGGCAAGATTTAAATCTTATTATTTATATTAAGATATCATCTCAATATAATTTAATATATTTTTATTCTATTTTTTTAATTGATAATTTTAATTGATTATAAATCTTTGTAGCCTTTGTCTATATATATATAAAATTGATGAGTAGTATTTCAAGCCAAAACAAGTTGAATATGAATGAACAAGCCTTTGTTCGAGCCAAAGCGAGCACATGCTCATCTCATGTTCGGCTTGTTAAAAAATATCACTATTCATCTTCGGGACGTTTATATTTCGAACAAAGAATGTGTATTTGTGTTCGGTTTGTTTGTTTAGCAAGCTGAACACGAGTTGTTCGCAAACAAAAAATCGTTTTGACAACCCTAATCATACAACCGTAGGATGTTAAGGTTGGGGCAAGATTTAAATCTTATAATTTATATTAAAATATCATCTAAATATAATTTAATATATTCTTTTAATTGATTATAAATCTTTGGAGCCTTGTAGTCAATATATATATATAATTGATGAGTAGTATTTCGAGCCAAAATAAGCCGAACACAAACGAATTGTTCGTGTTCGGCACATTTATATACCAAGCACAAAAAAAAAAATGTTTGTTTTCAGCTCGTTAACTTATCGAGCAAATCGAACACAAACTTCTTAACGAGTCGAACATAAGCTGTTCGCAAACGACCCGTTTTGACAGCCTATGTATATGACATTTGGTGTTTTAAACATATGCTTGAAGATATGTATTTTGCTTTTAAAACTTAAAAATAATACTATTTTTGATGTGATATATAATTTTAAGTGATGTGTAAAAATAAAAGTTTAAGGGTGAGATATGTAAATACTATGTATATAAATTCCCTTTTTTATTATTTATATTTTATTTGATCATTCTTTTTTGTAATTTTATGATGACTGCATGAATCAAAATCAATCTCTCTCTCATACTAATTGAGATGGCCTTTTGAGCTCACTCAAATTCATAAGATTAAATTAAAACTTGAGATTGGATTAGTAACTTAAATTGATTAGTTGGGATCATATCGGTGGTTATATGCATTAATCATGATTTCTAAGCAGTTATTCTAACCATATAAGATGAGCTTTAAAGTATGTATGGGCGTATGCATGTGTGTAGGCAAATTACTAGTTAAATTCAGCTTTAAGTATGAATTTTTCCGATGATATTAAGAAGTATAAATTTAGTACGTGCGAGAATGAAATGCATTTACTAATAACTTTGATATGTCATTAACAGATTTATCATCCGGCAGGAATCTTAAGCTATGACGTAAATCTGGATGCAACTTTTTGGGAAAAAAATATTCAAACTCTGATTAAAAATCATAAAGAATTTTGATTTTAACCAACTTGCAATTAAATTGACCAACTCGACAAGATGGATATGACAATACCAAAATTGATCCAATCCAACTCAAACCAAGATTTGTTAGAGCTATTAAACTGCTTTGAGAAACTTTTTCATACATAACTAGGTCTTTTTTATTCTAAATCAGGCAAAATTATGGTGAAATCGAGCATATTGATAAGATGAATCCAATGAGCTCAATATCACTCAATCTCAACATCATTAAAAAACTCAAATGTCATTCAATCAAAAGGATCTTTTCTGAATCATCTGATCAAGAGTGGTTTGAATTCCTTCCTTATTTGTAATTTACATTCCATAAATAGAGCCCACTAGACCCAAAGTAAGAGGGAGGCCAATGCCTGGAAAAAGGGGAGCTGAAGTCTAGGATTTTGCACCGACGATCCAGCATAAACCTCCAACTTCTGTAGCCCCCCAACCGTAGTCGATCACCATCGGCCTTCGACTCCTTGCAACTGCTAGCCACAATCGACCTCCTACACCTACAGCCCCTAACCACTGCTCCCTAGTTGCTGCTGGCCACTCTCGTCGGACGCCACCGACCATTGTCAGCATCTTGCTTATGCAATTGTGGGCAAACTTCAATCACTATGAAATCCCAGTGTACATTGTGGACCCATAAAGCTCCTTACAAACGGTGTAAAACTGCACCTCGAATACGATGTAATGGCGTCTTCAAAGGATTGTGTAACAATGCGCCCCAGATACAATGTAATGACCTTTCAACGATACGATGTAGTGATGTTTCTATAGATGGTGTAATAACGCACCCCAATTAAGGCTTCAACGACACACTCCGAAAACAGTGATTTTCTCTGGACTCCTAAAGCTCTCTCCTTAAAGCTTTGGACTTTGGCCCCCATGTCTTACGAAAGTTATCACAGCTTACCACTACAACCTACGTGACCAATTACGACCTACACTGTTTGCATGTCGTGGCCCCCATGGCTTACGAAAGTTATCACAGCTCACTACTACTACTTACATGACTAGCTAAGGCCTAAGCACGGTCCATATCACATTCAACCCTCAACTCTGACTCCTACTATCCACGTACTTCAACACAGTTCATCACTACGGTCTACACGACCAACTAAGGCCTACGAGGTCCATAGCTCATGCAACTCTCAAACAGGCCCTCTGCGGTCTACGAGCATCAAAATAGCTCACCACTACGACCTATATGACCAACTATGACCAACGTTGTTCACAACTCGTGCAGCTTCCGACTTCGACCCCAACAACCTATACACATTTTCACAACTCACCACTACAGCCTACGTAACCAACTACAGTCTACATGGCTAACATCTTGTGTAGCTACCGACTCTAGTTGCCGCAAACAACAAACTCCTAATGTTCGGGTTGTCATCCCCTTGCTGCCCTACTATTCTAGCACCCATAATAGTTGTTGTCCCTCATCCATAGTCCTGAAACTCCTTCCCCCACCTTGCTACCAACTATCCAAGCCCCCTTAATCGTTACCAACATCGCCAGAAATCCAACCTAAAATAAGTTTTTGTGTCGTGTGAGTTGTATTTTTCCTTTCAAGTGTGTTTGATAGTAATCACATATTTGCTTTCAACAATACTATTTACTTTTTCTATAGTGGTTTTGGTTTACTCTGATATTATTTGATATCATAGTTAGCCTAACTCTAATCATATCCTAAGGTTTCTAGCATCTGTCACACCCAAACCTATCTCCTCCTAAATTTTTTCTTTCTTGCCCTACATCAACCTTACACGCCTTTTTCCATCTACTCACACCCAAAAACTAGCCATTCCACCTAGGAGATAATTATCGGAAGCCTGATTGAGGAGAAAGGACACAATACAGTTTATGAGAATTTTACAAAGTAGTGTCCCAGGAATTTCAAGGGAAGATATGTAGTGTAAAATTCGACAACCAAAAACTGAGGCTCGCCCCCTTCAAGAGGAGGCAATTTAGACGAGGCACTCGTAGCTACGACAACGTCTTGCTAGATCTAAGGCATGAAGTGAACCTTTTTCAATCATGTGGATTTTAAGTATGAAGAACATTTAACTCGAAGGTGTGAAATGCAATATTTGAGAAGGGTGCTACGACAACATCTTGCTAGATCGAAGGGATTAAGTGAACCTTTTTTACATCATGTGTATTTCAAGTATGAAGAACATTTAACCCGAAGGTGTGACATGCAATATTTCAATTGCCTCTAGACCTTAATATGTGTCTTTGAGTGCTAGGACGTCCCATTGAATGAAATTTTGAAACTAGTTGCTAGCAAGAAGGAAAAGATAAGATAATTAATAGTTGATGTGTTATTGACCTTAATAGTTGATGTGTTATTTTGATAGAAAATTTTGAAGCACATATACCAACATGAAGGAAAAGATAAGATTACTACTTAGTCCAATATGAAACGGGAGATGCAGCGCCAATACTTATTAGTTCATTACATGCTAGTTCAAACCCCAACTTCAGAAGTGGAGAGACTATATCACCGGACGAAACCCCAAATTTTACATAAAAGGTTTAACCCAAGGATCTTATAGCCAGAGTACACTCATAAGAATAGCCAAGTCGGCCTCGCCCGAAGAGGCACTAGGTCAAAATGAAGAACGAGTAAAACCAATCCACAGTGCCAAATTCGTTATAGTGAGAAAGTGTTTCAAGTGTCAGGGATTTGATCATACTGAATCATATTGCAGAAGTGAAAGAATGATCCCTTTCATGGATCAGGGAGCAGCTGAAGAGATAAAAAGTGATCTACGAGAAGGTGAAGATTTCAGAGATGCTTCTTAACTTCCAACTGACGAGGAAGAGTTGTCAACGATTCCTATTGAACCCAGGAGAGAAACTTCAATTGAGTTGACAACATATATTCTAAAAGTTAGTACGCTCGAAATAACGAGCGTACATACTATGTATGAGGTTGTGGTGCCTCGACCTATATTTTTGAACATCAACAAGATTGGCATTGGATATCCGAAAGGGCCATGAGATTGAGAAATCAATATTAGACACATAACAACTTCATATAAAAGGATCTTGGACCTTTAAAATATATAGTAGATATCCTGAGTTGTCCCTACTAAGAGAGATCCAACTTATCAGAGATGAGAAGATTTTGAGTTAGTTTTGGAAAACAATAGGGAGTCAATTAAGAATTTAAATCAATTCAGCGGTGTGCCTTAGGGATCGCCTCAAAATCTTTGCAGGAAAGAAAATTATAAAATTGTATCCGGATCCTAGTGTAGAAGAAGATTCTTCCGAGTGGATGCTAATGAGAGTGGCTTATCCTGCCACACAATTCATTCTAAAGTTGTTTTCTCTTTACATATTTGTTTATCAGATGCATCCCATTGAATACCAGAATTGAGAGTAGCAAATTATATATTTATTTGCTTGGGATTGGGCTTTTGAGGATTTATGTCATAATATATCTCCAGCAATTTGTGTCAAAAGTGAATGTGTATTTATTCTATCAATATATGATTTAGAATGACAGCTCCTAAATGATTGACTTACCAGGAGCTTTCAATATTTCCAATACCTTTAACATGACCAACCTGACTACCATGAGGAGATAAAAACTTCGACAGATGAGATCAAAACTCCCCAACCCTAAGAGACTGACGTTGAAGGAACCCACAAGGCATATTTTGTGTACATTGCTACCATACATCTACAATTCCGTGAACTCCCATGAGTGAAGGTGGCTTGGATCGGTCCATGAGGGACGGTCTACCACTACTTTTAGGTGAATCTCTTTTATTAGGATAGATGTCCACTCCTATTTATTCTAAGTCTAAATATTTTATGGGAGAAACGCAGAGATGCATATAATTCTAAAAAAAAATCTCTCAAAAATAATAATAATAATAACAACAAATTGAGATAATTACATTCAAACCTCTCAAAACTTTACTACTTACAAATCTAGCACTGAAATGAAGGGTCATTTTTCAAGCTACTAAATTTATGAATTTACACATCACAATCAAATCATTCAACATTTGATAAAAATAAAAAACACATGTTAGCTTTTATTGTGAATTTTGATATTTGAGTTAGAATTTGAAAAACTGCTAAAAAATGAAGCTTTTTTTGTAAATAGCCAAATCTCAAGTTCTATGCATGCTAATAAATAAAAAAGAAGAAAGACAAGCTAAACTCTTCAAAATAAAAAGTGCAACTTTAGGCGCTAACACTCAAAAATATAAACAAACAAACAAAAAAAAAACAATATTATTTTCTGAATTAAATTATTAGAAAAACAACCATACATTGCCGACTACAAAAATGGCCGTTTTTTTTTTTTTTTTTTTTTGCATCGTCTGGATACATTTTTATCAGATGATAGCAAAAAAAAAGCGTCAGTAGCAAAAAATAAGCTCACAAGGCACTTGGTTTTGCTTGGGGGCAATGCTGTGAAGGCGACGGTGCCGCACCATACTTTCATGCATTTGACAAAATTATATTTTATCTGTTTTTTTCAAAAAGATATGGCGGGAAGTTGTGTTTTGCAATCTGAGCGGTGGTTGCCTGAAAGCTGAGGTCAGACATTTTGAAAATAAAATAAAATTGTAATAACCACCAGAGCTTCTTGAACTGTAATTTCTTCTGCATCTGTTTAACACAGCTTCTTCAAACAGCTGCAACTGCCCCAAACAATCCGTAACTGCTAGGCTGCTTTCAAGCTTTGCCGACGACGAAGCATTAATATACACAAAAGGAATATTAATAATAATAAATAAATAAAAAAACAGGAAGAAACTGCAATTATTGCTTCTTTTTCTGCATGCTCTGATGAATCCGACAAGTCCAAAATAATAGGAAAATGAGTAACGCAGAGCCCACAGATGACCAGGAAATTATCAGCCAAAGTGGCATTGATTGAGGGAAAAGACCTGAATAAATTAAGTTATCAAATTAGCTCAAAATGCATGAAAAAGAAAAGATTTACATGCAGGCTACTTAATTCCCATGTATTTCCAACACCAGAACATCAATTTTACACATGCCACCTTATCTATGCATAACATGGTGAGTTTTATTTTTTGAAAAGTTAAAATGGTGATATTTTTTATGAGATATGAAAGATTTGGCAGGTATAAATGTAAAAAGTTTTAAGTGTTAGAAGATTAGTGAAAAGAATAATGAGAGTTGAGCTCACCATGGCCGAATTTGATGCAGATGAGAAGCTCCAATATGCAGATTGCGAGGGAAAGCCAACAAAATACTCCAACTTTCTTCACTGGTTTTCTGAAATAATATCATTAAAATAACAAAATTACAATCAGAATGGGTAAAAGTATAAGAACAAATGAAACAATTGATCATGCATCGGTTTATTTTTTATATATATACCGCCTCAATCTTTAATATCACATCAAAAGTATCATTATTTTAACTTTTAAAAAGTGAAATTCAAATTTTCATGCATAGATGGCATGACATAGATGTAAAACTTGAATTTTAGGAGTTAGATATGTAAATATATAAGAATTCATGCATGTACACCTAAAATTTCATATTCACATTTGTGACACAGTCAACAGCAATTTTCTGTCACACCACTGCAAATTAAAGATTTCAGTGCTATTATATAAATATGAAAATTTAGTATATAAACATATAAGAATTGTGCTCTGTAACATTGTATCTGTAACACAGCTGCAACTCTAAAGTTTCTCTGCAGATTATGCACAGTAGTCTATTCAGTTAGAAGAGAGAGAGAGAGAGAGAGAGAGGGAGGGAGGACCTGTCCTGCAAATAATTGTTGTATTCACGTATGGTGGGAATTGCAATTAACCACCAGAGGATAAGTCTGTAAATTACAAGAGGATTTCTGGGTGGAATCCACAAGCAAAACTTGAGAAAGAATGTGTTGAGCTCCACAGTCATGAAGACGACGCAGAGGCTCAGAACCTGAACAAATCTCAGAGGACCGAGCATGGGGTGCCACTCATCTTTGTCCCACCGAGCTGGAGTGAACTGCTCCAACGTTCTCTTCACCTTTTTATATGCCCACACAAATAAATACAGATGTCATAAATTTACATGCATGCCCATGAATTCATATGCATTCACATTTCTAACACCTTAAGTTCGATATTCACAGTTATAACATTTTGGTGTCATAAAACTATATATGAAAATGTGTATTTCATCTTTTAAGAAGTAATGAAAGGTTTAAATGGTATGCATGTAAATATGAATGTTTAGGAGTTTGGCATATAAATACCTTAAGAGTTTTGTGGCATGTATGTAAATGCACAAAGGGAAAGGGAAATTTACATACATACCACACACAATTCTTTTGTATTCACATATCTAACACCGAAAATTTGATATTTACACTTATAACCCTATAAATAGGTATATTTCACTTTTGAAAAAGTAATGATTGTGGTGTTTTTTATGTGATGTTAAAGATTTGGGCGAAACTGTGAATGTATTTTTAGAAAATATATTGTTTTATATTATTTTATTTATCTTTAATAAATCTAATTTCCTATACTAAACTTCCTCTGTACGACAGTCAACTTTGCTTACAAGTTACAAGAAGAGTAACTCAAGGCATTTACATACATACCACCAAAATCCTATGTATTTACATATCTAACTGCTAAAATTTACCTTTAAACTTAAACCATCCAAATCTTTCATATCACATAAAAAACGCCATCATTTTAACTTTTAAAATGTGAAATACACATTTTCATGCACAAGTAAGTTGACATTCTTGTAAAAATTGAAGTTTAGGTGATAGATATGTAAATACATAAGAATTGAGTGGATTGCATGTAAATCTTCCAAGAAAAAATGAAGGTTTACTCTTAATAAATTATATATGCTGCAATTATAGGATTATAACGTGAATTATTTATCAGGAAATAGTAGGCTCATCATGTATAATTATTAGTTAATTACTAATGGTGCAAACAAGCACAAAGCTGAATAAAATTTCTTCAATCACCTATTATTTCAAAAGATAACAAAGAAATCATACAAAAAAGATTTAGAAGTAATGGAAGAACTAATGAGGCATACCTTACCAATGATATTTGGCTGGCGGCTTATGCCAACCCATTCATATGTTCTCCCATCAAAGTACCTCACAGTATGCATTCCAGCCCATATGCCTAATCAGATAAATTTGTTATTTGCAATAGCATTGAGAGGTAGGCTGCCATGTCCAAAAAGATAAATGGAAGATTTACATCAATAACACTCAGTTATTTATCTATTTACATATCAAAAGCTGCTGTTTACAACTTATAGAAAAAAAAAAAATAGAAACTGGTGTTAATACAGCAAGAGAAAGTTCAGAACAAGACGAGGAAAGAGTCATCTTTAGTGTGAATGATACATGCCACCCAATTCGTATGTATTTACAAATCTATCACCTAAACTTCACTTTGTTACATTTATACCCCAAATCATTCATACCACATAAAAAAACCACTATAATAACTTTTGAAAAGTGAAATATGCCTTTCATGCATAGGTATGGTGACATGTATGTAAAAAATGAAGTATAGGTTTTAGATATGTATAAACATAAGAATTAAGTGGTGTGTATGTAAATCTTCCTATCTTTAATTGATTATACAGTAGTATGGTGCAGTAAAACATCATTGATGGTTTACTTCAGTGAGAAAAATTAGGAAAAATAAATTAGTAAGTGATTATATCCAAGAGAAGTGAAATTAGCTTATCTTCCAAATAAGGTTGCAAAATATAGACATAAATGGCTTGAATATATACAACTAGATCAATTTATAAAATTAGTGACAGATTCAGGAAGGAAAAATGAAAAGTAATGATTCATATCGCTGGCCAACTTTAACTGGAAAAATGCTATCATAAAATTGATGATGACATCGTACAATCGGATATTGAGGCGTTCTCTGTTCATGAGGCGAGGCACAAAACTTGATGCAGTATGCGGTTAAATCTCACAGTTTGAAAATTACGATATATATATAGTAAAAAAAGATATATTAACATCGTAGGACATTGTGTTTATATGAAATAATAATTGTGTAAGCCAAAAAATATAAATGTAACTTGTATAAGAAAAATATAACGTAAACATCAACTTATCAAGTCATTAAACTAACATAAAATTAACATAAAATATTAAAATAAGACATAAGATGAATTTAACACACTAGAATTTTTTCACTTCGATTGTTTGACCAACATAATAACATTAATAGATCAAAATAAGAATAAAATAAAAAATCAAGCTACAAGTGCAGACAACGAAAACAATAGCAAGGGCAACTAGCGGTGGCTATAGCATGAGCAACAAACAACTGCAGCAGGAGCAGGAGGCTGCTATAACGAAAGCAGTGCACTGACGTCAAAAGTAGCAAAAGGTAACTTTGGGAAGCCCCACTAGGGTGAGGGAAGAGTGGGACTTCAGTTTGTATTTGAACCATTTAATAAATGGGAAAAAAAATCTAAGTATGGGAAGTGCACACCTCAACAAAATTGAAGCGAGATGCGCCTCAACCAATGAGTACACGTCGCTTGAGCTGATCAAGATATACATCTCGAAACATTTTCTATTAGAATCGAATTGAGGCCACCTCAGGTTATGCAAATTTAAACAATGATCTACAGAAAAAAGAAATGGAAGAAATTGACGTGCGTATAAATTTCCAATCATTTGAGAAGCGTTACGGTTGATGACACTAATTTAAGTATAAAGAATGGGAGCATAAGCAATAGGAACATCGGAAAAACCTAACCTTTACTAATCATTCTATCAAGTTTGGCAAGATTCCTTTCTCTGCTTGCTTGACATAGCAACTCTCGCTTGGCTTGCTTACTCTTATGCACATTTAACCTCATCTGTGTGGGATTTTAGCTGCGCTGCTCATGTTTTAGAGTGTGCCTCTTCCTTCGCTCCTATCATAGTTTGAAAGCTCCTTAGGGTAGTTGCATTAGGCAGCCTCGACTCTCTTGGCCTCTGGTGCTTCCAGGTGTTTCATGGGCCTAACCTTTTTTCTGTGCTCATCAAAATCATCACAGATGAAGTTCCAGAAATTTCCATTCACCAGCTATTTCTATTCTCTTTGAGTATCACTTAATTTCCTTCAAATTGATGTCACTAGCATCTTTGTTTTCATAGACAAAATCGAGTCTCTATTATTGATGCTTGCATTCTTTTTTCTACACATAATGCAATCTCATCCCACATTGTAATGTAGTCTCAACCTCCTATCTGGTCACTTCTAGTAAAGGCTTCTGCTTTCACAACATCGGCTACCTAGATCCCCGATAATTAGCATCCTTTATACAACTATCTTCCCAAATTTTTTCAAAAAGAAAAGTTCTACATTAACAAAAAAAAAACCAGCTAAAATTCAAGAAACTGCCCAAATTTTCATTAAAGATGATATCTCTAAGCTTGCTAGACTACTCTCTTTTTTCAATTGTGACCAAATTCTTCATTAGGTCACCCCAAATTAGAGATTATTCACAAATTCATGATAAATTTAAGCTTGGATTGTAAATTTTCTTTAGGGATCATTAACCACGATCATGCTATTATGAAATTATCTTCAGAAGCAAATTGCACAATACTCCTCTCAATAAACCTACTATATCAACGACTATTCGATATGAATGCTTAAATGGTTTTTCCATTTTCGATCGTTTCTGTTTAAGATGTTTGGCTACATTTACATTATTTCAACGAATGAACTTTATGCTCCTTAGGTTCTATGTTTGGTAAGCCTTTATAAGTGGATGCGAGCATCTTTGTTTTCATAAAGAAAATTGAGTATCTATTGTTGATGCTTGCATTCTTCTTTCTACACAAAATGCAATCTCATCCCATATTAGCTTCGCCTAAGATCAGGTCTCAACCTCCTAACTAGTCACTTCCATTGAAGGCTTCTCCAAATTTCATAGCATCGGGTACTACATCTCCTTTTGATCGCCCTCTTAGATCCTCCATTGATCTTTTTGAGGGGTTGAGGGTCCCCAATAGTTAGCATCCTTCATGCAACTACTTTCCCTAATTTTTTCGATAACAAAAGTTACATACCTAAACCAAAATAACAAATCTAAAATTCAAGAAAAAAAATTGCTAACATTTTTGTTGAAGACAAGATCTCTAAGCTTGCCAGACTCCTCCCTTTTTTCAATTGTGATCAAATTCTCATTGGGACACCCCAATAGCAGATTATTCACAAATTCATGATGAATTTAAGCTTGGTTGGTGAATATTCTATTGGGATCCTTGAAGCCTATCACAAGACTCCTCTCAATAATCATCCTATATCAACGACAACTCAATATGAATGCTTAAATGGTTTTTCAATTTGATTCTTCCAAGGAACCACCTATCATTCCTAATTAAGATGTATTTTTTTGACTTTGCTTACATTATTTCAACCAATGAACTTTATTCTCCGTTAAGTTCTATTTTTAGCAAACCTTTACAAGTGGATGTTGATATGAATAGTTTATATAGGCCATATGTGATTAAACTTTTGAATTTGATGTTACTACACTTGAAAAGGTGTTTTTTGAAAAGCCATGGCTATTAGAAAACGACAACCTATTTCACAAAAAACAGATTTTTCTAAAAGCGTTTTTACAAAAATATTACAGCCAAACAAGAAATAAACAACTTTTCTAAATTTATGTACAAAGGAAAGCACTAAACAATCTCTTCCAAATGAGACCTTAGTCTCATAAAAAAAACTATAGAACAATATGTTGCATAAGTATAAGTATGTCGGATTATAAATTTAACCTGAAATTTATTCTATCACAGCTCCTCCGAAATTGGATAAACCATTATTTACTGAAAATAAATTATAATTAATCCATAAATTACGATCAAGAACAACAAGAATAGAACTGAAAACCCATTCCATTTAGCTAAAAAAAATAATCATAAATGCATAGCATACATTCATAAATGCTATGCTTCGCATTCAACTTGACACGAAACGAAGGAATGTTCGATGTACAATTACAAACCATATAACTTCAGCGCATAGAAACCGCAGAAAAACTAAGTAAATTGAGTTGGAGTCTCACCAAACCAATTACAAGCCAAAATATCGAGAATAATACTATCCCACCAACACTCGTTGAAGTTTGGTAACATGTGACGAAAAGTAAGCTGAAAATTATTAAATATATTAGTCAAATAAGAAAAAAATTAAAAAAAAATTGAGAAAGATTGGAAGTTTACCTCCATCAGTTCAAAACCTACTGATAAGACCCACAAAAGAGATTGATTTCGTATCATTATGGCCTTCCCCCACCAACCAAATATATGTGCAAGGACAAACTCATCAAATAATGTTTCCTACAAAAACCTAAAACATTAAATCAGTACCTTAAAAGCAAGAATAAAAACATGAAAAAAAAAAATTAAAGGGGCATCTTCATACATATCACATAATACCTATGCATTTACATATCTAACACTTGAACTTTGATGTTTACATAATAGCACTCAAATCTTTTATGTCACATTAAAAATACCACCATTATTAATTTTTAAAATTGAAATATACCTTTCATGCATAGGTAATGTGCTATAAATGTAAAAAATCAAAGTTTAGTGTAAGATATGTAAATATATAGAATTGACTGGTATGCATGCAAATCTTCCAAAATATATAAATATTCTATAATGTTAAAAGAAAAAAAAAGAAAAGAAATTTGATGGTGATTGAAGACATCATACATAAACATTGTTAAACCTGCTTTTGGGATTATCAGGCACATATATACGACAATCTGTTCCATAAGACCTTTCAGGCAGTTCTGGAAAAAGGTAAAAGAAAGAACACTAAATTTTAATGTAGGAATAATCAGGGACAATTGTAAAAATTGCCACATAAGTCACTCACCAACTCCAAGGTCAGCGTGAAGAAATTTCATGAATTTGCGGGCATCATCGCGATTCTATGAAAGGTGTAGACAATTAGAACAATATTGTGTAACTACATATAAATAAATTTGTAGAATTTGTCCAATTGGTTTGTACAACTACTTAGAAATCAAATTTTAACCTGTTGAAGTAGGCATTCATTAGGTACGAAACAAACCTGAAAAAGCAAGAAAGTAAGTGCTACAAGGTAAACGACGGCCATTCCATGAACTAGCCGCCAAATGGCGGGATGCGGCCTGATAAGAACCCTGGAGGATATAATGAAATCAGAAAATGCAAGACATTCAAAAATCATTAGATTTAAAACTAGCACAAATCTGCAATAAAAAATTTTACTCACGTTGGAGGTGCTTGGAGCAAGGAATAAGTTAGAAAAACTGCAATCATGGCACAAACTCCCCTGAAGAATACCGAAAAAAGAAGTTCACATAAAAATTATTCATTGCCAGAGCAGAAATAACTAAGGATTTTTTTTTAAAAAAAAACAGCAACACAAAAGCTCAACCAACTAATGTAAAACTATGCCCAATAGATTGAAGCTGTTATAGGACCACTGAACTAATAGTGAAATGTTATATCAGCATTAGAATATACAACAAATCACCAACTAAATATATTAAAATTAGTTGATAAGAGTACCTCTTAACAGATGTTACAACATCATTTGAAGCCATACTTTCTGGATCAAAAGCACCACTTGCCCAACTATCAAATAGGAGGTTCCAAAATTATAAAAAAATAGGATTAATAAGGCAGTGGTGGCAATTATATTTAGACAGCACCAACATCAAATATGAGACATGGAGTTGAAGTTGTGTGCCTCCCTAAACCAAAAGCTAACCAAGTCTTGATAGTAAATTCAAAAGCTTAAAAAAGATAATGTGTGTTTTCTATAAGAAATTTCGGAAAAAATGGCATTAAAAAAGTTCATGACATGGAAAATAAGAGGTCTACAAAGGATGAGCCACAAGTTAATGAAATGTAAGAATAACATTGGAGCACATCAAGATTCTTTGATTGTAACTTGTTCAAAATAAAAATACAATGATAAAGCTCAATGAAAAAAATATAAACATGGAATCTAAAAATTCTATTATTGTGATCAAATATGATCAAAAGAATAATATATCAACTCAAAAAAAAAAAAAAAGAACTATTATTCTACAATAGATTCAATTACTGAAATAAATTTGCGCTATGTTTACAAAGATCTAGCCCCTATCAAATTGAGTAAAATAGATTTGTTTTATTTTGAGGTATAATTATCTCATGAAGACAGTCCATTATAGTTAATTAAAACAATCTTACAACAACAACAACAACAAAGCCTTAATCTCACTAAGTGGGGTCGGCTACATGAATCCTATTTCTCCATTGCGTCCTATTTAGTGTCATATTTTCATTTAGTTCTAATAAATTAAGGTCATTTTTTATACAATAAGCCCAAGTCTTCCTAGGTCTACCTCTGCCTTTCTTAACATACTCCTAATTGGATCATCAGATGGTCGACGTTTAATGGGACCAAACCATCTAAGATGACTTTCTCTAATTAAAACAATCTTAGAAATATCAAAATTTAAAACTTTGAAAAATCCCAAAAAAAAAATTAAAACAATTTCAGAGATAGAAATATGAAATTTTTGCAAAGCAAGGAGGCAAACTACTAGGTTCTAGATGGTAGATGCTTACACTATAAAAGAAAATCTAGCCAATTATCAAGTAGCATATCGGTATAAAAAAATCAAAGAAATTTTACAACTTCCAAAGCCTTGAAAAAGTCCAAAGAAGAATCAAGGAACTATAGCACTATCTAGTAAATAGAAAATCAGCTTTGTTCAAAAGATAGCTTCAGAGCAATTGAAACCTGTCAAAATGGTTGTCAACTAACAAAAAGTTATTAACAATTATCAAAGATGACACATGCTAAAGCGAAAGGAAAACCAGAAATAGCCACTAGACCTTTTAAACAAAAAAAAAAAGGGAAAAAAAATTCCGATTGACACTAATTGTCCCCCTAAAAAAAAAAGGTAACAACAAATCCAATCAACGAGTGTAAACAAAATAACATGATATGCAATAAAATAGAACTCAAGAACATTGAATTCAATATAAAATAAGGGACATACATAATAACACATGTGCCAAACAATAGCAAGGAAATTGTTCGTGGCTTGTATGCCCATGCTGTCCATGGGTCAAATTCACCAAAATCATTGAAAAATTTCATATCTTCTCTTCCAACAATGAAGTCCATCCTACTTGCTTTCTTCAAGCCATTGAGCTCCATTATAGCAGCCTAAATAACATTTCAATGATAAAACAATAAATGATATAAATGCTAAGATCACCGAGAACCTTACAATAACACTAAGAAAGGCCAATGAAATTAACATATAGGTCAAGTATAATTCATATTATAAACAACAAAAGAAGAAGAAAAAAAAAAACCTTTTCATCAGATCAGATAAAGCAAACTTGATTCAAGAGAAATCGTGGCAAGAGAAAAACATATTCTGATGAAGTGATCGAATTTTGTAAAATCACCACCCAATCACATGAAACATTCAGAAACAAGACAGCTCGTGAAATACGTTTAAATCTAATAAACTCGAGTAATTATCTCTTGCTAATTATTCAACTACAGAGTCCCAGATCTAAAGAACCACCCATTTCAGCAGAAAAACAAGGACGGTTACAAAGAATTCTAAGAGATTACAGCAAAGGAAAACCATATGCCTATTTGACCAAAAAGAAATTACAGCTTCTGAATTTATTTGACAAATACAAAAAGGAATTAACTTCCAACCCAAATCATCACTTACGGTATCAAAAAAGGATTAAAAAAAAAGGCAGTTTGATTACAATGCACAGTCTAGCAGGAAAAAATAGGTAAAAATAAATTGTCTTTATGTTTCACAAAAACCAAAATAGCAGAGAGGAAGACAAAAAGAATAAACCATAAACAAAGTCCAAGAAATATAGAGGAGAATCAGGAAAAAAGGAGTTTCTTTGGGCAAGTTTAATTGAGAAAGGCGGAAACAAAATCTTTATTTGCCAAAAAAAGAACATTAAAATGAGCACTTCACCAATGGCCAAAGCGAAATATATTACCTACAAATCAAGACTCTGAGAAAGAAGATTTCTTGCGTACGGTAGCTGGCAGAGAAATCGAGTAATGCCGTAGACAGAGAGAGAGAGAGAGATAGATGTGTAATAAATTAAATACGCAAACGGGAAAGGAAACAGGGGAAAGGCGGTTCCTTTTTAGTTCTTTCTGGTCATCACACGCGTTGCAGGAGAAGAGGGAGAGGGGAAGGGGGGGGGGGGGGGGGTCGATGGCCGTAGGATCGAGAATGGAGAAGATCCCTACCGTCCGAGGAGATCCACTCCAATTCAGCGCCGTTTCGTATTTGGAGAGAGAGATAGATGGCGCAGCATAGATCTTATTAAGGATGATGTACGATGGTCAAAGAGATTTCATGGTATGAGAGAGATTCCCCATTGACGCAGGGGAATATCACAATAAGGGCATTATATATATATATATATATAATATATATATAATAAATAATAAGGATTAATATGGTGTCAATAAATTTTAAGACAATTTTGATGCTGTAAAACACATATTTTGTGGTATTTAAAATAAGATTGTTGAATCTTAATTATCCCTGAGTAGCACTCAATTAATAGAGTATAAGACATGAGAGAAAAATGCACAGATTTGATTGTAAATTAGTCATTTATGAGAAAATGATTCCCCTATTTATAGAAGAGGATGATTACAATATATAAACTGTATATTTGTCATAGCTTTAATGGGGGCATTATAAATTATTTTAAGTAGTTTAAATATATGCAGACTTTTGGTTTGACTATCCTATGCTCGGTCAGTTGAGATCGGCTGGTCCTAGTTTGCAAGACATTTTCATCCGAATGTGTTGAATCGGGGTTACTGTTCAACCCTTAGTGGTCTTCGGGTCATCGAAACTTTACTCAACCGGCTTGGTTTTGTCGGTCGGTCGCGCTAGTCTAGTTGCCAAATGTTGATTATTGGGTAAAGCACTCATAACGACAAAGCAATGTTAGGTTATTAGGCAGATGTTAAATCATTGAAATTGAATAAACAACACACTCCTCGACAATATGATCTTTCAAGAATGCTCCGTGTAGTTGTATGATGGCTACATCTAGGCCCTTGATGAATAATCTCAAGGGCAACTTTGAGTAGTTCATGTTAGATTCTTCATTTAATTCAATTTATGAGAGGAGGCAAATTGATCCCTTCACCTGGCTTGATAGGCTTTAACCTTCAATCGGATGACCCTTGCTCAATCGACCTTCGACCCTAGCTTACGGGGGTTACACTTGGTTAGAAAGAACTTTCAATATTCCGATGATGAATGCTTAATTGATGGACCTTTAGTCTTCCATTCATGAGCCCTACTCCTTCTTACTTATTGTCTATTGGATTTCCTCAACGTTCATGCAAACGTTTATTTGATGTGCATATTTTAGTTTCTTAATTTCTTACTTCTTGAAAGTGACAAGTGTGATGAGAATTGGAGAATTAAATTTAAAAATATATTCATTTATTTCATAAACATAACTTAATAATTACACTTCCTGAATTTTCGTGCTCATAACCCTTATAAATAGGTTGTAATTGACACATTTTTCATCACTCTTGTTTTTGCGTTTGCGTGCTTTAGTTGGTTGATTCCTACAATTCTTTGATGGAAAATGCAAAAAAAACCTTTGGACGATGTCCCAAGCGCAGAGGTGATGAGGAGGGTCTTTGGTCTGCTAGAGCCTCGACCCCATCCTGAGGCAAATAAGAAACCAAAGGGAGATAACAGACATGAGGGAAAAAAGGCACCAAAGTAGAAGAGGACATAAGAGGCTGAGAGGAGGCCAGAAGGAGAGGTCTGAAAGAAGAAGCTTCTTGAAATAAGTAGAAGTCGGTTGAACCAACATATGAAGTGGGATCGTTCGACTCACTTCACACTCTTGACATATTCATCATTGGTATATGTCACCATATACTAGTGACGAATGTTTACTTTCTCGTGACAACACCCTAGATTGTCACATTACACTGGATCATGTTGCATTTGTATGTGCATTCTTTGATCGTCTCTATGATGAAGCTGGCTTCTTAGCTATCTGGTCATGATGCGACAACTAATGTTTGAAAAATATGATGCATATGTACTAAAAAAAATATAATTTTCTTATATTTTAAAATAGGTTACACTAGCACGACATATGCGCGCTAGTCATGGCGTGATAATTGGTATTGCCCACTGAGACCTCTTCGTGGGAAATACTTGCTAACACATTATGATAAGCAATGGGTCACTCAGCTAACGAGCCAACTTTGTCATCGAGACAATTGAGAGTGCACATGCAGATGAAAAGTGATCCAGTGCGTCACGACCGCTCCTTCAAAGTAGGACCAATTACGAGATAACAAACATTCGTCACAAATAGACAGTGGCATCTAGTAATAATGAATGCACTAACAGTGTGGTGATGTGCATGAAAGGCACATGATGCGAATCAGGTAGTGAATTTATTCTTAGAGAGAAATACACACCAGGCAAGCTTGATGTACAAGACGTTTTTGAAACATGAGTGTCGGAAATGAGTGTGCGAGGAGTTGTGACTCGAGAAACTACCTATGACAGTTCAAAGCAGTGCCATAAGAGGTGACAGCGTGTGTGAGGAGCAATGACTAGAATAAGAACCTACGGTAGTCCGTAGCAGTGTCGTAGGAGGTGAAAGACTGTGGGAGGAGCAGTGACTCGAGCAAATGCCTACTACAGTTCGAAGCAGTGTTGTAGGAGGTGAAAGAGGGTGTGGGGATAAGTGACTCAAGAGAGACACAAGAATGTCGGGAGTGAGGGTGAGAGGAGCAATGACTTGATAAAATATCTACGACAGTTTGAAGAGGTGTTGTAGGAGGTGAAAAAGTATGCGACGAGTTGTGACTTGAGTGCAAACTACAATCATATAAAATGTAAACACACAATCCGTTATGCAAACAAACATGTGAGGTGCATGGATAGGAGTGCAAATGTGCGGGACATGGTGCACGATGCCATAATAATGTCACAAGATAGACACAAAATAACTAGCTAAAGTGGGCAGCAGACGCCGATTGCAAGCATATGAGGGCATATGCTTGCAGGTGCACGCAGGGTGTGGGGGCAGACATACTAATGCGGGCAAGGTGAGGAGAGAATGCACAAAATTAACAAACCAAAACAAAATGATTGACCGATCAATCAGAATAGTGGCAGCCGATCGATCAAGTTAATCAAAGTGGTCGATCAACCTGGCATAAAAATCTGATCGACCAAGGATGATCATTCGATACCACTGGGCAAGTGGTGGTCGATCGATCGAGTAGACCAAAGATGGTTGATCCAACCGGAGTGTGCAGTCGATCGACGAAGGACAGTCGACCTATGAGTTCAAGCTGGTGACGACCGATTGATTGAGTGAACTGAAGATGGTCGATCAGATCAGCGTGGGTGACTGCTCAACAAAGGATGGTCGAGCAATGGGATTGGGCCGATGATGGCCGATCGATCGAGTGGACCGAAAATGGTTGATCATACTGGTGTGGGTGACCGATCGACAATGCATGCAAAAAAAATATTTTTTTAATGTATTTTTTTTAAAACCATGTGATGGAAATGCAAAGACATGCAAGATGAGATCCGATGATGAATCATGCTCGACCTCATGAACTCACGGGAAACTTAGGGTAAATGACGAAGTCATGGATACTGCCTGTTACAAGTTGTAATGGAGGGCCTACCACTAGCCATTTGGTAAAATGAAGGAACTTTTCCTTATGAGTGAAGAATTTCTTATGCGAACATAACCTTCGTCATTTAAGTATCGAGGATCGAAAAAGTTCCTCGTTCTCTATCTTATAATTGCTTCATACCATTAGTCAAGAATTAAGCCACTGTAGTTGATTAGGTTGAGGTTCTAAGAGGGAGGTTTTGCTCAAGAATTTGTAGAGGAATCACAAAGCACCTAACCTATGGGTATTCTCTGTAAGCACAAAACCTAACATATATCCTCTAACAACAAGAACGGGGGGCTCTGGGAATAACAAACATGAATTTACAAAAATTTTCACCACCGTGACAATTGATCAAAGCATTCTTTGGGCTCGTGTGAGCTCCTTCGAGGTGAGGATGATGAAGTCATTCCTTCTCTGAGGCGAGGAAGAAGCTCTCATTGTCAGACAGGATGACTGAGTTGGATTCCTTCTCCAAGATTGTGAAAAAGCTCTCCTTGCCATATAGTATGGAGAGGTCACTGGAGTTCCTCTTCTTCAAAGCTATGAAGAAGCTCTCCTAAGCTCAACTCAAGGAGAGTCACCAGAGAGGAGGAAGAAACTGTTGGGGATGAAGAGGAACTAGAAGAAAAGAGCTTCCCTTAGCTTCTCCTTGAGGAAGATGAAGACTCCCCCTCAAATTTCCTTGGATGCTCCCTCCTAAGCTCCCAAGCTCCTCCTCAGCTCTTCCCCAAATGGCTGTTGAAGCCTTGCTTCAACCTTACCAACGGGAGATATCCCATGGATCAAGGAAAGAGGTGACTCCTTGCCTCATTTGGAATGAGTCTAGGTGGTCCAAGCTACCACATTTGGGTGAAGGACCAAATAGAAGACACTATCTAGTGGTCCTGACAGCTTCGTCAGCAAAAATTTGGGGACTGAAGGGCAAAAATCGTGAAACTGGTTGCACCGACATGGCTACGCCGAATTTAGGTTTTATCTTGTTAGTGTGTTTATTTCTATGCTGAGACTGGAAATCAAATTTAGTG